CGATTTGTGCGGTGTCCATGCAGCTTTCAATGGAACCACGCTGTTCAGCGCGGTTTTGGGCATTTTTAATTGTGTTTCAGCACTGAAACACATTTAAAAACTCCCAAAACAGTCCTTTTAAAATCAGCGTGGAAACTGCCCTGATCCGCAACCACTCTGGTGTGAATGGGGCCTAAAGGAGTAAAGCATGATCACTTTGCAAGGGAATTATCACTTAGCTTAGTGAAAACTCACTTCTTCAGGGAAACCTTTCCAACCTCCTCTTAAAAACTGTACATGTACACCTTCAATCAGCGCACCCCTCATATTTCTTTCATTCTGTATCATATGCCCCTCCTTGTAGATTTTAAGTGCTCATGGGCAGGGCCCTTCTAATCCTTTTGTCTGGCATTGTATTATAATTGTATTGTCTCCCCATATGTTGTAAAGCACTGCACAGACTCTTGGCGCTATCGAACTCCTGTATAATTATAATAATAATAATGGGAACATTAACTTTGCAAAGAATACAAAATTACATGCAGAAAAAAGGAAAAAAAACATTTTTTGCATGAAAGTGATTGAATGATTGACATTAGCAGAGATTCCACACATTCACTAAGCTAAATGAAAATTCCACTGCTGAGTGAAACTTCCCTTGCAACGTGAACATTCTGTACTCCTTTAGTAAATCAACCCCAGTGATTTAGACAGCATTGAAGTAAAATTACTAGAATGAAGTCAAGGAGTTTATAAATGACAGCCTACATTGCTCTCTTATGACAGAGTCCCTATAGGTCTTCACTCATAGGGGTACATAAAACAAACATCAAATTTTAACATTCTGGCCAACAGTCCCAAACGTGCTTCTTGGCTTAGAGAACCACCAAAAGGAACACACACACTTTCTCCATCCTCACCTACACCACTTCATACAACCTGACCACTCTAGCTCTCCAGACACCAGGGCTCTCATCAAGATGAAAAAAGCTGTAATGGATTGGTGTCCCGGGAACCCACCCACATTCTAGAACTCTAACTAAAAAGGAATATTTTTCTGTCTTCTTCTGCAGCCTTATCTAAAATATTGTCACAGCCTGTGTGCCACTTAGATCCCATCCATAACTGCCCCCTGCGTCTGCCTAGGATGGTTCTCACTATATTGAATTAACTTAATCTGGATATGATACTGTGTTGAGACTTCAGGATATATTTGGTGTTTATTTTGTTGGTCAGCACCATTTTTCCTCAATTTGAACAGACTTGAGTATTTAAACTGAGGGAACTACTCCTCTGTTTACTAGTGGATTGCATGACCTCTGAGCACTGGTGTGCTACTGACCATAAACCTTCCAGCAGAAAAGACCTTCAGGCAGTAACTATGTACAATGATATTTAGCAACCATTAATTGTGGGTGATAGTTTCTCAATCTGAAGAACTGTTTCAAAGATATCTCTCTGTTTACTTCTGGTGTCATCCCCACAAGACCCCCAGTACCTTTTCTCTGTCCCCTGAGGATAGACAACTCCTGTTTCATTGTAATCTTATAGTGGTGCGTAGTGTTTTTTTTCCCTTCATATGTTTTACAATTCACTGTTATTGATACAATTTCCTTCTCTTCTGTTGAATTTACTGCAGGTATCGGCCAATAGCTGAAGATGTCCTTCAACGAGCATTTGAGGTTGGTTTTTGTTTTAGACTTGGCCGTGGTCAGCTAACTCACTACACAATGCCATACCTACAGTATATATTTTCTTCTTTAGGTTTTAGATGACAAGAAAAAAGGATTCCTCACTAAAGAAGAGCTTATTAAATACATGACAGAAGAAGGTAATGTGCGCATCAAGGCTATTGCGTTTGCACTTTTGATAATGTAAACAATTAAACAGCAAGTGATGTTTATCTATACTGCAGGTGAACCATTTACACAAGAAGAGATGGAGGAAATGGTCTCTGCTGCAGTTGATCCAGACAAGAATATTGTTCCTTACAAGGACTATGTGTCAATGATGATAGTAGATTATTAATACCGCAAGGCATTTGTTCCATACAGTAGAAAACAGATAGCCATGTTGAATATTGTTTAAATGTATTGAAATTTAAAGACTGTATTAAAGTATTACATTATTTAATATTAGCTGTTTCTTTTATCTTCATTTATACATATTTGTCTTTACAAAGATAAAGTCATAGCAGGCCATTGAAATGCTTTAAGGACCAGCAGAACTGGGAGCCAAGTACAGGCAAATAGAAAATGCACTGATGGGCTCTTATAGCCTGGCAGGAGTGGCGTGCTTAGCATACATAAAGCACCCAGAGCAGATCATTTTTTTACTACCCCCATACATCAGAATTATTTTAGGGGCAGCACGTTGCTGTATTGCAGAACTATGGAAGTCGACCAGGACACCCACGGTGTCCATGTGGCTTCATAAAGTTGGAGAAGTGGAGAGAATGGAAGATCTGGTCTGGTATGGTAGGGGCCAACATGCCAAACACTGTAAGACGTGGTTCTATTGGACTGACTTCACTCAGATGCCTGAATTTCCCGCTATGATGGAGGATGCCCCTCCTTGAGGAGGTGGACTGTGATCCTTCTTGCAGTCGGTGAGGCCCGGGAATAGGAATACAACCTACTGCTGTCCAGCCCCCCCGCCTTTATTTTTATTTTCTATTTGGCTGCTCTTTCCTCCCCTCCTTTCTTTACTTGTTCTACCTAGTTCGCTCCCCTCATATACTGCAGGCAAGTGGATAGATGTCGGGACCTAATTCAATCATATATGACTCACCTCAGTTCAGGTACCGCTCAATATATCCTCTGTAGATGGAACTGAGTGTGCTATTAAACGACCTTATCAGATTGGATTGGGCCTGATGTCCCGTGATTATTTCACTCCTTTGGGTGAATGTTTCATTGCCTTTGTCCACTCACACTCTGGATATCGAAGGAGTATTCTATTTGAGGATACAGAAGGAAGGGATCTTTTCCACTTTCTCTTAATATTTCTGTATGTTTCTATTTTACCTTCGATCAAGCAATGTCTATACTAAGTGACATATTCATTTTTCTTTTATTACTTTATTACTGGTCTTATTTCCTGAATGTTTTTTTTTTATATTGTAAAATCTTTAAATAAAGAATATACAAAAAATATATATTTTAAGTAATAATTATAAAATTTAACATCATGTACACTGTGGGTGGGAGTGGAATAAGGTGTTGGAGGGCTAATAGAAGGAGCTGCAATAGTTGCTACTATATGCAGAGATATTTGGCATACTTAGCATATCAACCTGTCTGACATGCAAGAGCTCAGAGACACTTCCTCCTGCATAGTTACTAACATTTGAAAATAGGAGGGATGCCTTGAAGTTAGAAAAAAGAAACGTGATGTGCTTAGCGCCCCACCGAACACCTGGAGGTGTGGCCAATAAAGTGGGTGTTGCTTTATAGTATATGGCTTGTAGTGTGGGAGTAAAATATTCCCCAATATTAGTGTAATTAGCAGTACTAGTAACCCTTAGCAGTTTAGCAGAAATATCCCCAGCACTGGTATAAGGGGCTGCAATGCCCCCCTCTTCATTGGTGTTCAGTGGTAGTAATGTTACCCCCTAATAATATCAAAATAACCCCCCCCCATCCTTAGCATTGGTGTTTAGGGTAAACCTTAACATAGCTGTATACATGCTCCCACACCAAGCTCTCTCTCAGTTCAGCCAGTACTATGCTTCTGGCTGGAATGAAGAGAGTTGTCACGTACCTGGTGGAGACGAAGCTGAAGAAGAGGCTTCTCATGCATCTCTTGTCTAAAAACCCTGAAAGTGGTAATAAGGAATGTGAGGACACAGATTGGCACAGGGCTGATGTTGCAGCCAATATTGGATGACTGTAGTCCACTGGTCAGGAACTAAATGCGGGGACACAGTAGCACCCAAGCAGTAGGCAGGACCAAAGCCAGGACATAAACCACAGGTTGGTAACAGCTGGGCAGCAAAGTAAAAGAGGTAGAGCAGGATGCATGCAGCGAGTTACGAATAGTTAGATGGAGATGGTCTCAAGTTACAGGTTGAAGTCAGTAAATAGCCGGGCAGAAGAGGTACATGTCAGTGGACAAAAGACAGTGTCCAATACGTAGGTTGAGGTCACAACAGGTGGTCAAACGTCTAGAGGCAGGTCAGCAGGCAGACCGGGTCATACATGTGAAACTCGAATAATTAGAATATCGTGCAAAGTTCATTTATTTCACTAATGCAACTTAAAAGGTGAAACTAATATATGAGATAGACTCATTACATGCAAAGCAAGATAGTTCAAGCCGTGATTTGTCATAATTGTGATGATTATGGCTTACAGCTCATGAAAACCCCAAGAACCCCAAATCCACAACCTCAAAAAAGTAGATTATTACATGCAATCAATAAAACAAGGATTGTACATAGAACAATATCGGACCTCTGAAAAGTACAAGCATGCATATGTACTCAGTACTTGGTTTGGGCCCCTTTTGCAGCACTTACTGCAATTACTTTTGCACGATATTCTAATTATTCGAGTTTCACCTGTATATAGAAAGGCAGAATAGTGGTTGCAGGTAATCAGGAACAAGCTAAACACCATTCAGCAATATGTCACACTTCAGTTTACAGTTAGGTCCTGAAATAATTGGACACGAACAGATTTTTCATAATTCCATAATTCTGGTTCTGTACGCCACCACAATAGATTTGAAATGAAACAACTGAGGTGGAATTGAAGAGCAGACTTTCATCTCTAATTCTAGGAGTTGAACAAAAAAATATCATATGAAGGGTTTAGGAATTACAACCATTTTCATACACAGTCCCCATATTTCAGGGGCTCAAAAATAATTGGACAAATAAACACAATCGTAAATAAAATGTTAATTTTTAATACTTTTTGGAGTATTCAATACAGGCAATGACTGATTGAAGTCTGGAATGCATGGGCATCACACAATGCTGGGTTTCCTCCTTTGTAATGCTTTGCCAGGCCTTTACTGCAGCTGTCTTCAGGTGTTGTTTGTGCGTGGGTCTTTCTGCCTTAAGTTTTGTCGCAAGACAAGTGAAATGCATGCTCGATCGGGTTGAGCTCAGTTAATTGACTCAGCCATAGCAGAATATTCCACTTGTTTGCCTTAAAAAATTCTTGGATTACTTTCGCAGTATGTTTTGGGTCATTGTCCATCTGTAAAGAGGAAGTACCGTCCAATTAACTTCGCTGAATTTGGCTGAATCTGAGCAGACAATATACTGTATCCCTTAACAATTAAAAATTCATCCGAATGCTTCTGTTTTCTGTCACATCATCAATAAGCACTAGTGACCCAGAGCTGTTGGAAGCCATGCATGCCCATGCCATCACACCTCCCCCACTGTGTTTTATAGATAATGTGGTATGCTTTGGATTATGAGCGTTCCAAGCCTTCTCCATACTTTTTTCTTCCCATCATTCTGGTACAGGTTGATCTCAGTTTCATCTGTTCAAAGAATGCTGTTCCAGAACTGGGCTGGCTTTTTTAGATATTTTTGGCAAAGTCTAAACTGGCCTTTGTATTCGAGAGGCATATTTATTTATTTATTACAGGTATTTATATAGCGCCGACAATTTATGCAGCACTTTACATAGTTGCAGATTCACATCAGTCCCTGCCCTCAAGGAGCTTACAATATAAGGTCTCTATCTCACATGCATACATAGAGGCCAACTTAGAGAGGAGCCAATTAACCTACCAGCATGTCTTTGGAGAACACTCTGTATTTGCTCTCATGAAGACTTGGATAATGATATGCCTACCTCCTGGAGTGTGTTCTTCACTTGGCTAGAAGTTTTGAAGGAGCTTTTCTTGCCATGGAAAGGATTCCTGTGATCATCCACCACTGTTATTTTCCATGGACGCACAGGCTTTTTTGTGTTGAAGAACTCACCAGTGCGTTCTTTTTTTTTCTCAGAATGTACCAAACTGTTGATTTAGCCACTCCTAATGTTCCTACTATCTCTCTGATGAATGTCTATTTTTTTTAAGCCTAACGGTGGCCTGTTTTACCTGCATTGAGAGCTCCTCTGAACGCATGTTGTGGGTTCACAGCAACAGCTTCCAAATCTGAATGCCACACCTGGAATCAACTCCAGACCTTTTACCTGGTTAATTGACAATGCAATAATGAAGGAATAGCCCGCATCTGTCCATGAAACAGCTTTTGAGTTAATTGTCCAGTTACTTTTAGTCCCTTAAAAAAGAGGACAATACATATTAAAGAGCCATAATTCCTAAACCCTACCTCCAATATGGAGGGTGTACAATATGTGTACACCCTCAGCATAAAGTCCATTTCCACATTTGTAAGTAATTAGCCTTTACTGTGGTAATGACAAGTTGAAGTAATTATGTATACGTGTGCATATTTTCATGGTTCACATTGCAGGCTTTCTTCATTTTTTATGGACTTTTTATTAGGACTGAATCCTACATATTTAAAATTTTCTCCACATGAAATTCAGTCTGACACCAGGGTCAGATTGTAAAGCATGCTGTAAACAAAGATATGAAGAGGAAAGCTAACAAAAAATGTAAGTTTATGTGTTCATGTACAGCAACTGCACATGACTGCCTTATGTACACTCAGTGTACATTGCTGGCATATGTTTTTTTAAAATACCTCCACAAAGGTGGAAATGGGCTTGCTGAAAGACTTCACTTTCAGCCAAGATTCTTTATTTAACTCTAACTTGAATTTTTTGGGGTAAAACACACAAAATAAGCCCCAGATGAAGTCCATTTGATGATATAACGTGCAGAGTGGAGTTTTGCAGATGCTAAGTGGAGTAGGTCGGCAGCATGGTTTCAGCGTTACCCATTTATATATATGAAGGTACGGAGATAAAGGAGAGACAGCCGTCCTGCAGATCTATGCAGTTGTTGATGCCTAAGTGGGAGTAATATTTTAATAAAGGAACATTTTAAATCATTAAATGGTTTTACGCTATGAGCTGTTTTATATCTCATTCAACGGCGG